TGTCTCTCTCGCCGGCCGAGCGAAGAAACGAATCGGGCTGCATAAAAACGGATTGCTATCGCCTCCCGTGAACTCCCGCGATATTACGATCGGTTGGAGTCCGTGAAATCGTTTATTGCGTACGCGGTTATAGCGCCTCCCTCTCTCTTTCTCTCTCTTTCCCTCGCGATGCGTCCACGCTGACGGAATTCTGCGGAATCTTCTCGATCCTCGAGGAGAGGCTCGATTTCCTTTTATTCGGAGGGAGACAAAGGGGTTCGGCGATGTTAATTGGAGACTGTTTATCCGTTCGTCGTTAAACTATGGTCAACTAGTTGATACTTGTTCCGTGGATGTAAATGAACGGAATACGTATCTTCTATTTAGGACTCGAAACGCTTCTAAGTTATTTATATTGTTCTATATCTTCTCCAACCCTCCGAAGGTTTTCCGCTAGAAATGTTCAACGTTTTCCGACGAGGTGCACATATTTGGAAACTCATCGAGAGATTAACGAATTAAGGAATAAAGCTACTTTATTTCAATGTATAATTTCCCTGACCGGGATCGGACGAACGCGGATCGATGATCGAGGGTCCCGCGAGTGCTCGGCCGTCGCGGAATGAAATTTGGACCGACGAGAGCGCGCAGATAAAAGTCGTAAAAAGGTAATTTACGAGACGATATATCGGCTCGCTACTTGGCGAACGCCCGTATAAAGAGGCATCTATATTCACGGGCTCCCCGTCCGCGCGGCGCGCGCGTTTCGTTGTATGAACAGCTGTGAAGAATAAGCGCGCGGCTCTCTCGCGTTCCCGTATTTCTACGCAGAAACTCGCGGTACGCGATGGAAAACTCGGCTGGAACGCGTTCACGGCCCCCGTCGCAATTAGCTACACCTGTCTCCTATTCCGTCTCCCTCGCAGCGATCCTCTCGTTCCATATTTACGAATCTTTTCATTGAAAATATTCCCCGCACGCGAGGATCTCTTCCGAGCGCACCGAAGTTCTGGAACAAGAGGAAGATAAGACAAGAGAAACGAAAACTGAATATAAATAGACTCCGTTGCGTCAAGGAAGATCTGTTACTGTGAAATAAAGACGTTCGCGAGAGGAGCTCGGTTTCGGAGTGACTGTCAAAACGCAGAACAGTCGTCGCAGACGATAAACACTTGACCGTGCCGTCCCTGGATCGACAGCGAACTTTCCGTTTAGGCGATGTATCAGATTCGAATATCTTACAAACCGTACGATGTTAAACAATTTCTTCCTGTCGTTCGCTACGAATCTCACCGAATCAACTGAAGATTCTGTTATACCGGTTGCATGGAAACTGTTTCATTCACACGCCTAAACGGAGAGCACAGCTAAGAGAGCTCCGCCTCCAACGCGTCAACAAACACTTGAACGTACCGTCGTGCATCTAATCCCATTCGGTAGGAGCAGCAGGTGGACTCGCGGGCTCACCACACGTGGCACACATTTCCCGACAGACACGGACGCGCCGGAAAAACTCGATCGATCCGCGCGAGCACCGCGCGTCCTTCCGAGACCGCCAGCAAAACCAAAGAGAAACACGAGCCGAGGTGTATCGTCCTCGAGTCCTCTCGTTCGTTCACCGATCGACGAACGACTGACTGACCGGTCGCCGGACGGTCGACGGGGCGAGGAAGAAACTTCGCAGCACTGCGGGAAAACACCGGGGCACGATCGCACAGTTTAGGGCCTCCTGGAAAAACCGGCGGGAAAAGCCGGGCGACGCCGGCGGACACGGAAGGAGGCAGGTGTGCGCTGGTTGCGGCGCGCGTGATCTGGCCGGCGAGGAAACTCGAGGAGGAGGAAAGCACCGGAGAGCGGACTCACGTTTGCGCGGTCACGGGCTGGCGCAGCCGCGACAGGAATGATAGTGGCGAAAGTGGGAGACCCTCCGGGAAATATATAGGTCCGCAGGGTGGTGGTGGCTGCGAGGAGGAAGGAGGCGGCGGCCCCGACAGACGACGCATCCCTCCGCGTGCGGGCCTGCGGTGTGTGCGGTGCACGCACACGCGACCGCCAACACAGCGGGCTGGATCGGCAAAGTAGGTGACGTTTTGCCGAAAAGTCTACTTTCTGGGATCGACGTCTGACGAAACGATTCTCGCTGTTGAATGTCTCTGAACCTTGGAAACGAATTCGTGTAATTTACCGCGCGTGTAGTTAAACGTTCGGAGCTAGACGTTTGACGAGTTGCATTTCTTGGAACGAATTGCTGCAGTTCTGCATTGACGATTGCGTACGTTTTCGCGTTTTGGTCTTGAGATGTTCGGTAGACTTTTTTTTATTGATATTATGTATTGAACGATACTGTTATAGATTAGAGTGAACCAATTGAAATTCTTAAAATTCCTTACAGTTTATGAGGAACTTTTGAATACCACAGAATTCTGGGATTGAACAAATTCGAGTATGTTCTGCGTAGTTTTCTTTATGGGATTATGAGAGAATCGTTTCTCAACTGGTCGCAACAAGTTATTAGCATTCAAAGTTGCGAGAACACTGACATTAAGTTTTACGCACTTTGTTAAGTGTACAAGCTATTTTGGTAGTGTCCTTCGTGTTATAAGTATATGCAGAGACACGGTAGAGGTACAGAATAAACGGTCAAACAATTTTGTGTAAGATAATATTGTTTAAACAGTTAGTTAACTGATTTAAGAAACATACAATACATAACGATTATCGTTACGGAAGAATAATTCTTTAACGAATTTTAGTGGAATCTCCGGCCCGATACCTACCGTGGTCGAAAAGTTGTAACAAAATTTCACCTATTTTTCCGAGCGAGCCCACTGTGCGCCGCCACGCACGTGTTCCACGCACGCTCCACGCACCGCCCGTCACGGCACGCAGATGCACCAGCCGGTGTGCACGGAGAGAGACGCGCATCCCCGTGAACC